CCCCGGACGGGAGAGAGCTGCCCCTGCGACATCGCTTTCCCCGGAGGTGGGGTGATGGCCTCCTGGGCAGAGCTGCAGCAAATGTGAGCAGTGCTGGGCCCCGTGTGGACAGGACAGGTGGGCGGAGTGGACATGGAAGGTCTTAGCTGTCCTCGAGGAACGCCAGCCCCAAGAGGTTTCCCAGGGGCTCCTGGGTAGGTGGGACGTCTTGGAGGGTGGTGGGCTGCAGGGCTCACTGCCTGAAGTCCCCTTGGGGGGCTATGGTTGGAAGGAGCGTGTGAGAGGCAATGCTCGAAGCCTGAGACTGTGGTTCCTCAGGGTTGTCCCCTTCTCTCCAGGGTGACCTTGCAGCCCAGGTATCCCGGGGGTCCCTCCTAACCCCAGATCCCACTCCCCCAGGGCCAGCCAACACCTCCCTCCTCAGAATGTTTCAGACCCAAAGGCTTGTTGGGTCATTTATGAGATAAAGTGACTGCATGGCCTAGAAGCCATCTGAGAGTGGTGTTCGGTGATGAGGTCACTCCGAGCCTCGTGGGGCCAGATGCCTTGAGATGGTCTGGTTTCACATACTTTTATTTAAAAGACAAATATATGAACCGCTTTTCTGAGATATTATTGGTGCATCACCACTTTTTCTTAGTACTATCCACCTAAAGGGCCTCCTCAGACCTCTTTTTTTTTTTAACTTAATTGCTCCCTATCCATGAAATGTTAACAATGCGTAGATACAGCCCAGCTGTCTTTGCGTAGTGTGTATGTCTGTGCTCGATGAATAAGAAGGTTAAGATGTTTGCTCCCTAAGAACCAATGTTTGCTCCCGTGGGGCGAGACTGGTGGTGCTGAGTTGGCATAATTTAGATCTGAGTTTTCCAGCTTGAGTACATACTTCTGTTGTTGCTGTTTAGTGGACAAGTTGGTCTGGCTTTTCACGACCCCATGGACTGCAGCATGCCAGGTTTCCCTATCCTTCACTATCTCCTGGAGTTTGCTCAGACTTCTGTCCATTGAGTCACTGATGCCACCCAACCATCTCATCCTCTGTTGCCACCTACACTTCCTGCCAACTCTCACATCCATACATGAACACTGGAAAAACCATAGATTTGGCTACATGGACCTATGTCTGCAAAGTGATGTCTCTGTTTTTGATACTTTCCCTAGTTTGTCATAGGTTTTGTCTCCACCCATTTAGGGTGCACCCAAATTGTCACATTCTCACTTCTCTAGCCAGGCTGGTGCTTCAGGAGCCCCTCCGCCTTCGGCCAGAATCGAGAACCCCACTTCAGAGGTAAGATGGACCTGGAAAGTCCTGAGGTCCAGAAGCAAGGCTGGGGTGTGTCCAAGGTGGGCGGACTGGCTAGAGTTCTTCTGGCTGGACTCTTTGAAATTGGGACAGACGAGAACAAAGAAAGCTGGGGATGGGGAAGACCAGGGACTGTCGCTTGTGTCACTATCAAGAGAATACAAAAGAAGCTTTTCAGCGATTCAGGGATATTTTCCTTTGCCATAAGAAAAACCCCTTTATCTATGTCACAGGAGAAGAAGGGGAGGTCTGGATAAAAGGCTTCTGGCCACGCCTCCCTCCGCATGAGTCAAGTGCCCATCATGGCAGAGGGGGCTGCAAGAAAAGGGGTGTTGGCCCCTGGAAACCTCATTCATTCTGAAACCGAAGCCCTCCTACAAGGAAACGGACTTCTCTTTTCCTGTTTCAAGAGAAAGAAAAGAAAAAGAAAAAAATAAGTGCTTATGAAAGAGACAGAAGGTTTAAGAGGGAGAGTGGGAGAAGGAGGGGAGGAAGAGAGAGGACAGGGGAGGGGAGGGGAGGGGGAGAAGAAGAGGGAGGGGTGGAGGGGAGAGAGAGGAGGGGGGAGAAAGAGGGGGACGGGAAAGAAGAAGACAGGGGGGAGGGGAGGGGGAGAAGAAGGGGGGAGGGGGGAGGAGGGGAGGAGGGAGGGGGAGAGGAGAGAGGGAGGGGTGGAGGGAGGGGGGAGGGGAGAGAGAGGAGGGGGGAGAAAGAGGGGGACGGGAAAGAAGAAGACAGGGGGGAGGGGAGGGGGAGAAGAAAGGGGGAGGGGTGGGGGGAGGGGAGAGAGAGGACAGGGCCCATGGGCAGATCCCTGGGCTTTGTCAGGCACCCAGGGAGGCTGGGAGCAATGACTGCAATGTGCTGGCAGAGTTAGAAGGTGAACAGGAACACTGAGGAGGTATCTGCAGCCCCGTCTCCGTGAGGGAGGCCCTGATGCTGGAGGAACAGGAAGGTCCAGGACTCAACTCTCCCAGTCCTCCCCAGTTGAGGGGCGGGGCTCCCACGAGGAGGCTGCTTGCTCAGCGCCACCTGGCAGCCTGGGGCCACACATGGAAAAGGTGTCAGAATTGAGTGGATGCTGAGGACGCTTGATTCCAGCTGGAATCCAGATTGCCAGGAGAAATATCAATAATCTCACATATGCAGATGACACCACCCTTATGGCAGAAAGTGAAGAACTAAAGAGCATCTTGATGAAAGTGAAAGAGGAGAGTGAAAAAGTTGAGTTAAAGCTCAACATTCAGAAAACTAAGATCACAGCATCTGATCCCATCAATTCATGGCAAATAGATGGGGAAAGAGTGTAAACAGTGGCTGAATTTATTTGTGGGGGCTCCAAAATCACTGCAGATGGTGACTGCAGCCATGAAATTAAAGGACGCTTACTCCTTGGAAAAAAAACTATGACCAACCTAGACAGCATATTAAAAAGCAGAGACATTACTTTGCCAACAAAGATATGTCTAGTCAAGGCTATAATTTTTCCAGTAGTCATGCATGGATGTGAGAGTTGGACTATAAAGAAAGCTGAGCACCAAAGAACTGATGCTTTTGAACTGTGGTATTAGAAAATACTCTTGAGAGTCCCTTGGACTGCAAGGAGATCCAACCAGTCCATCCTAAAGGAAATCAGCCCTGAATATTCATTGGAAGGACTGATGCTGAAACTGAAACTCCAATACTTTGACCACCTGATGAGACGAACTGACCCCATGGAAAAGACCCTGATGCTGGAAAAGATTGAAGGCAGAAGGAGAAGGGGATGACAGAGGATGAGATGGTTGGATGGCATCACCAACTCGGTGGACATGAGTTTGAGTCAACTCCAGGAGTTGGGGATGGACAGGGAGGCCTGGCATGCTGCAGTCCATGGGGTTGCAGAGTCGGCACAACTGAGACTGAATTGAACTGAGGATGCTTGGGACAGTGATGCCTGAGGTCCCCCTCACTGGACCCGAGTTGGGGGGCCTCCAAAGAGAGGCTCACAAGGCAGGGGCCCCACCCCAAACGCCTAAAGTAATGCAGGAGGCAGAAGAGGTAGGGTCTCAGGAACAGGTCCAAAGAGATGAGCAGGGCTGGCAGGTGCTGCTGCTAAGAAAAAAGCAAAGAAGCCCAAAGCAAGAAGACATGTCTAAGAGTCAGTGCTGTCTGCAGAGGAAGGCGTGAGCCCCATCCCTGCACGGTTGCCACGTTACGCGGGTAGGCACAGGCAACGATGCTGCGGGTGGACCTCATCTCAAACAACAGGGTCCCGCTCTGCGTCCAGCTCTGGGCAAGGAGGGAAGCCTCACCCAGTGGGGCTGCATCTGGACTCCCTGACTCTGGACTTCTGGTTGGTTTTGGCCACTGGGAGGCAGAGCCAAGGAAGCGGAAGTTGGGTAGAAGGTGGGTGAGTCCCTTCCTTCCCCCATGGTTCTAGGACACCTGATGCTCACGCTGAGTCCGCCCAGAGGGGATTCTACCATTCACCCCACCTCCCCCGAGCTGACAAACCCTCAGAGCCGTCGAGGGCAAGGGCCTCGTGGACATGAAAGGGTCTTGGGAACAAAGTCCTGGTCCCTAGAACAGGTTCGTGGAGAATGAAGCGATGGATGGCATGTTTGACTTCCAGTGCCATCAGCATGCAGAGAGAAGGATGTCCATCGCTGCTATGATGAGAATCAGCCTGAGAGGTAGATTGGGGCACAGTTCAGGCGAGCTCATCCCGGGGGACGCCAAAGGAACGGAAGTCAGAAGCAGGCTGACACAGACAGCATGGATATTCCAGCAGGCAGGACTTCAGGGCTGGTTTCGACAATTCTTCTGTAAATTCCCTGTTAAGACAGAGCAGGGCTGGGGGGCGTTCTGCCCACCACCTGGTGAGCCTCTCTCTTCACCCACAAACTCGGAACATGGGATTCAGAGCCCCCACCCCTCTGACTATCCCCCGGAAGGCCTGTCCCTGGCGATGAAGAGCTCAGGGCAAGGTTATCACTGGGGGCCCGTGCAGCAAATGTCTAATTATTTACCAGTCAGAAACAAAAGCTAGAATATTGATAGACATGTTCTGTTCTTCTGCTTGACAAATACACCTACCAAATAGCAACATTGAAGTCTAGCCCTAGAGCTAAAGTATTTCAAAACTACACAAGTTGGCACGATAGCAAAGACATTTTAATTATTATCATTATACACGTCTGGGGGATCTGCGAGTGGGCTGGTGTGCCATCCTAGTAAAAAATAACAACTTCCATAATTCATAAATTATATGTTTATTTCATAAGATTATTTTTTTTTGCCTTTATTTCAGCAAAATCATTAGTCTCACTGTTGTAATCGGGACAGTCACATATTTTCCGTTCTGCTAACAGTAAAGATTTAAAGTCTTTGGAAATAAAATTTCATCGGATGCAAAAAAGTAGAAAGCTTGAATTTATTTAAATACAGTGAATTTTAAAACTAAAAACTCATTCACCTTTGTTCTCAAGGTCTTTTTCTCCTAAAAATATTTAAATCTTATTAAGATGAAAATACATCTTATAATTCAAGAAGATCAAAAATGTAAAACAAAATGATTCAAAAACTAGTTTCCATTTGCTTTAGCTTCAGTGGTTTTTTAAGAATAGAAATGCATTTTATTTAATAATCTAGTACCCCACATCCATCTCGCTGTCAGCGTGAAGAGTCAGCATCACACTGAATGCTGGTTACTGACCGTCTGTTCTGGGTCCCCCCAGAAGACAAGCTGAAGTCCTGACCCCTGGTACCTGTGGACGTGACCTTACTTGGAAAGGGGGCCTTTGCAGAGGTCCTGAAGTTAGAACGAGGTCATGCTCAGGTGGACCGTAAATTTGATGACTGGCGTCCTTACAGTAAGGAGGCCCTGTGAGGACAGAGGCGGGGACTGGCGAGACGTGTTCGCGAGACTTCCCAGGTGGCTCAGTGGCAAAGAATCCGCCTGCCAATGCAGGAGACGCAGGACGCGCTGGTTCCAACCCTGGCTCGGGAAGATCCCCTGGAGAATAAAATGGCAACCCACTCCAGTATTCTTGCCTGGAAAATGCCATGGACAGAGGAGCCTGGTGAGCTTTGGTTCATGGTGTTGAGAAGAGTTGGACACGACTGATCGTGAGTAGGCACGCATTTGCAAGTGAGAGGACGCCCAGGACTCCTGCAGCCCCCAGCAGCCTGATGAGTCCAGAAGGGCTCCCACAGAGCCTTCAGAGGAGCACGTCCCTGCCCACCTGTCGATTCAGACTCCCAGCCTCCAGCAATGCGAGAAAGTCAATCTCTGTTGTTTTTAAGCCTCCTGTTTAAGGTCATTTGTGTCAGAATCTCCGGGAGACTACTATATCCTCTTACACCTTAAATTGAGAAAAACAGAAATGATTTCCTATTGTAAAATGTTCCTGGACCACCATGGGCAGCTCCTGGGGATACTGGGGGCAGTTTCTACTTCTAGAATCACAAATAGAAACACAAAAGAAAGAGAAAAATTGAAAGGAGGCTGGTGCTATGGGGGAGCAAGGGCAGTGAGTCCAGACTGCTGTATTGAAGAGCCTGATGGAGGCACGGTGGGGTCTCTCTCCTCTCCACACGTGCCCGCTGCTCCAGCCCCATCCGTCCAGGGGCACGGCGTCCATCCCTGAGGCTGGCACTGGGCCCGCCATGGCCTTCACGGGACCTTCCCTTGTGGCTGTTGGGCAGGTCTGCCCCGGGACCTGGCCGCTGAGTTCACGACAGCGATGCTCCGTGTTGCCTAGTTTGTGAGTCAGAGAGGCACTGCGGGATGGTGACGATGGCCAGTGGAAGCGCAAACCCCTCTGAGTGCTGAGCAAGAACAGGAGGGGAGAGGCCTTAATGAGGCATAGCAACGCCTCCTGACGTGGATTTCCTGAGAAGCATTAGTTGGCACGAGCGTCTCGGCCCACAGAGCATGGGAACAGGCAGGGAGCACAGAATGCGCGTGGAGTGAGATGAAGGTTGGGGTGACGGGGACAGAAAGACTGCTCATGATCCCCAAGACTTCACCGTCCTGTCTGTGCTGTGGGGCCGCTCTGCACACGCTTACCAAGTGTCTTCCGTGAAGCAGGAGACGATGTTCTCGTGAAGATCGAGATGCTGAGCTGGACACAGCGGCCGCCCAGTAGGAGGGTTCTCTCATCTCATGAGAAATAAGCAGAGCGTAAAGGAAATTGGGTGCACTGGCTCTTCTTGGGTGCCTGTCGTGTCCGACTCTCTGCAACCCCGAGGACTGTAGCCCAACAGGCTCTTCTGTCCACGGGATTTCACCTGTGGACATGTGACCCGTCTTTGTCCCGACTTCCGAAAGAAGTAGGGGAGCCTGCTGGGTGCCCTCCATCACCCTGGTCCCCTGCCGGAGGGTCCTGAGTGATTGGGCAGGCTGCGTGGCGGGCCTTGGGGATGAGGGTCCAGCAGGACCTCGCGGACTGCGCGATCCCTTGAAGACATCACGATGGGGCATCGAAAGCGGGGAGGAGCCACAGAGGAGGGCGCCCTGGAGGCCAGGGTCAGGACACCCCGACTCCACTGCGGTCCAGACAGGGGGCCCTCGTGCGTGTGGACCCTGCCCTGGGTCCTTGTCAAGCCTCCTCTCTGATGACACTGAGCATTCGTTTGCCAAAGACGGCTTTCAGTAAGTTCCAAACAAGATTTTTTATAATAACATAAGTCATGTGTTTCTGAGGCACCAATAGTGAACTCACCAGAACTTTTGGCGACTGCATTTTGGACATCCTGGCAGCTCTCTCAGTGTTCCGTGCATTTGCTGTTTCTCACAACACACACGCATAAACACACACACATGCACACACATGCACAAACTTCAAAGGCAGAAGGAAGGCCAAGAGGAGCACGGCAACACCTCGTGCCCTGGTGGTGTCCTCCGGTCTGGTGTCCAGCGTCTCCTCTGTTGCGGTCACAGGAGGGCTGATGGCACCTGCAAGGGGGCCAGGGACCCGGCAACTCACCCTGGAGGTCCAGGACCTCAGAAAGAAAGGGCAGCAGGGGTGTCTCCCAGGCTGCCTCTTCGGCAGCCTGCAGATGCTACGTTCTGATAATGACTGTTGTTGCCTCGCGGTAATTACCGCATAATCGACCTGAATCCTCGGGCCCTTGGCTTTGTACTGGAATGCGGGGAATCCCCCGGGACTTTCTGTTAGTGGAATTGAGCCGTCTTAACTGACCTGGAATGCGATCCTGACAACAAGCCCACCTGCAGCTTCACCTGCCCGCCACGGCTCGCTGGTCCCTCCTCCTGGCTCTCGTTTTTCCAGACCACGTTTGCTAAGAGCTCCCGCCCACCACCGCCTCCCTAGCCCCGCTCAGCTCGCGGCGTGCCCCCAGACTCTTCCCTGGCTGTGCTTGGAGGTGGCTTCGCTAGGACCCTCACGGATGGCAGGGTGGAGCGCTGAGGAAGCGGGGCTTGCTCCCCCCGTCGGGAGAGCTTTCCCCAGGAAAGCTCCCATATGTGCCTCCAGCTCTTTACTCAATGCAGCAGGCATCTGTGGGCCCCTGCTGTTCCCAGGCCGAGTTCTAGGAGCTGCGGGATTCGGCGGGTGCACCCCCGGTGGCACCAGCCCAAAGCCACTTGGAGCAGCTGGAGCAAAGGAGAAGGGCCCAGCCCTGCCTGGGGGTCTGGGCAGACGCTGACCCGAGACGCTTGGGTCCTGGGGCAGAAGGCTTCCAGGTTGAAAAGGCCAGGGCCAGGAGGCAGGAGGCTGCTCTGCCTCTGCGGTCAGCTGTGGCTGGGCACGTTCCCTGGAGGCCAGGCCGAGAAACGGGCGTCCTGGGCCATCACGATCCTGGGAGAGAAGCGCGGTGAGGAGAAGCCATCCTCGGGGGAAAGCAGCATCTTGCTGAGGACGCGTGCGCAGTCGTGGCCGAATCGTGGTGGCCCAGGAGACTGGAGCCGCCGGGCCCCTCTGTCCCAGGGTTTTCCGGGCAAGAATGCGGGCTTGGGCAGCTCTTTTTTCTTCCAGGGGACCTTCCTACTAGCCCAGGGATCAAACCCGTGTCTCCTGCCTCTTGCACTGTTTGCTGGATTCTCCATCATGTGGAAGCCTGCCAAGGGTGGGGGCGATCAAAGAAAGAGGCGGTGGGGGCGTGTGGGCAGCGGCCCGCCCCAGGCTGGTTTGCCCCATGCCCGGAGGGGGCAGAGAGGGCTGGGCAGGCAGGTGCGGAGGCAGCGGGGCCCACACCTGCCCCGATGTGGGTGGGCAGCGCCACGAGGGCGCCCTCACCTGCAGGCTCCTCTCACTTGGGGAAGCGTCGTCCTGTCCCGGGTGGCAGCGGATGAAGCCCCACTCGAGACACAGAGAGCTCCCCAGCAGCCCCTCGCCAGCGCCGTCTGGCTCCTGGAGTCTCGGCTCCAAGTAGCTCCAGTTCCCTTTGGGGAAGGGGACAGGGCTCCTTTGGCCCTGGCTGCTGAGTGAGAGGGCTCAGGGCCTCGGGGTTGAGCCAGGGGCCGGGGCAGGCCGTGCCAGAGCCTGGACTGCCCACTCTCAGGTCCCCGCCACCACGGAGAGCTGGGGAGGAGGACCAGCTGGGTCAGGGACCCCCCCAACATCGTACACATCCTTCCAGCCCGGTGGTGGGGAGCAAGCCGACAAAGCTGGTGAAAGTGTGAAAGTCGCTCAGTCATGTCCAACTCTTTGCAACCCCATGGACTGTACATTATTCTCCAGGCCAGAATCCTGGAGTGGGTAGCCTTTCCCTTCTCCAGGGGATCTTCCCAACTCAGGGATCAAACCCAGGTCTCCTGCACTGCAGGCAGATTCTTTGCCAGCTGAGCCACAGAGAAGCCCAAAGCTTACCCCACCTTAAAATCACACTTTCGTTGACTTGAGTGAGATGTCATTTGCTGGGGGGACGCACCATGTTTCAGCTGACGAGTTAAAGGTCATGAAGCCAGTCATCCTCAGCGGTGAGAACCTCTGAAGAGACCCGCCTTTGGCCTAGGGACACTCAGCTCTGTTCACTGAGCTTCCCTGCAGACCTGATGCTTTCGTCCTGGGGCCTGGCCCCTTCGGGGAGGCGCTTTCCCAGCCAGAGGAGGAGAAGGAAGGAAGACGAGCCCTTTTCTTCCCAAACTACCACCCACCCCGGGGCGGAGGGCAGGGCTGGTCCAGCTCAGCACACAGACCTCAGCCCCATGGCACGGCTGAGTCAGGAGTGCCGTGTTCAAGTCTTCGTGATTTCTCACACTCATTTCTCATACTTGGAGGCAAGAAAAAAAAATGCCTAAATGTGTTTTGCCAGAGATTTCTACTCATTAGTCAAATCACATGTGATTTCGGGGAAATGTGATCCATGTGTTTCTCATTCATTTGGGCTCAGATCATCAAGCTGGGGCGCCAGTGCTGGGCGGGGGGCACCTCGGGCTGGCCACGTGGGCCGACGCGATGGCCAGGCAGCCACCAGGCGGGGCGGCCCCGGCAAGGGCAGCGGCTTCAGTGCAGGATGCCAGGTGGTCTGGGGGACGGGACCGTGACCGTAACTCCTGTGCATCCACTGGACTTGTTGTGAGGGGGCACCACTGTGGCCGCAGGGAAAGCAAAGGGCAGTCGTGGGGGTCCTGGTGGGGTTGGCCAGAAGGGGCTGAGGAGGGCCAGTCATTGTGAGCTCAGAGACCAGAGCTGGAGCAGGAAGCCAGACCTCACCCCGCATGGGCTGGTCGGCAGTGTGGGGCACTGGGCATTGGGCATGTCAGAGCTGAGGCATCTGGCCAACGTCCTGAGCCTCCATAAGCCTCCGTTTGCCCCTCTGTGCTGTGAGAATATGCATCTGGGCCCTCAGGCGAGGCTTCTGCACAGGACGCGTCCACACTCCAGCCCTTTCTGGACTCCCCCAGAGCAGGTCAGCTTCAGGGGCGTCTCTCCGGGTAACACCCAGATGGAGATAGCCTAACCCAGGGGTCACCAGAAGCCTCGTTGTTGGACTTCAGATCAATGGGAAATCTTTCAGTGGAAGTTTATATTTTGGTATTATTTTAAACTTTAAGCTTGAAGGATTTATGATTAATAACTGCAAATTCATGACTCTAGAAAGGATCGAAATTAGACCCAGTGTTCTGTCATCCATGAAGAATTGTCATTTTTTTCTCTTTCCTTCTTATCATCATCAATTTTATGAAGCAGATTGCCCAGAATAATTATTTCCAAGTTAAAATTGTTTTTTTGTAATTCATCCATCTCACAATTCTGTGTAATAATCACGTCTATTTATTTTTCCTTAAGTAATCTTGGTATTTTCATCAAAATCCATTAGAAGCTGCTTCTAGAAGGACATGCTTTTAAAATATTCAAATTTATAGTTAATGTTTTATTAACCATATTTAGCCTATAATTATTTTTCTAATGAAAATTATCCTGACTGCACCATCTGATGTTATGAGGCTGGTAGTTCAAACAAAACTCAGAGAAACATTTATACACAAAGGACTGTGTATTAGTCATTTGGAAGGGAGGATTTATGTGCTATATAATTAATTGTTGCCTGAGTTTGACAGTCCATATTTTACTCCAATGCATTATTTACACAGAGGAGGCTTAGGGGGTCACCCTTCAAAAGGTTAGGAAAATACAAACACACACATTATCTGAATGGTGGAAAGCTTATTGCAATGGATGGAGGCATGAGAGTGTGTGTGTGTGTGTGTGTGTGTGTGTGTGAGTATGGCTTGTGTATAGAATATAAATATGTATATAGAATCCATACATACATATGTAAACAGGAAACATATGATCTCTGCTTATGTTATATAATACAGTATACAATATACATTATATATTGTAGAATACTGCAGTGGTCAGTATATGGGAATGAGTGATGTTGTTTGCATGTAAAAGACATATGTCCTAAATGTTATAGAATGCCACAGTGATTACCACAAGTGTATGTGTGGTTTGTGTATAGAATATGTGTGTGTGTGTATATATATATATATATATATATATTCTTTGTATATAGAATTATACATATTCTTCATATAAGGACTCCTAGGAGCACTAGGGTAAAGAATCCTCCTGCCAGTGCAGGAGATGCAAGAAACATGGGTTAGATGCCTATGTTGGGAAGACCTCCTGGAGAAGGAAATGGCACCCCAGTCCAGTATTCTTGCCTGAAAAATCCCATGGACAGAGGAGCCTGGTGGGCTACAGTCCATTGGGGTCACAAAGAGTTGAACATGACTGAATATAGAATATATACATACATATTGTGTGTATATATATATATATGTTCTCTCTCTGTAGAATAATATGTATTCTTTTTATGTAGCAAATCTGTACTCTGTATGTTATAAAACACTACAATAATGACTATGTGAGCCTATATGTGCATATGTTTTGTGTGTAGAATACATTTACAGTCTATATATTTATTTATTTATTTATTTATTTATTTATTTATTCAGACATGACTTAGTGACTAAGCAACAATATTACAGAGGCTTCCCAGGCTGTTCGCATTAAAGAATCCACCTGCCAATGCAGAATACAAAGATTCGATCCCTGTGTCGGGAAGATGCCCTGGAGAGGAAATGGCAACCCTCTCCCGTATTCTTGCCTGGAGAATCCCACGGACAGAGGAGCCCGGTGGGCCACAGGTCCTGGGGTCATAAGAGTTGAACTTGACTGAGTGACTAAGCAACAGCCACAGTGTGTGCGGATTACAGGTGTGTGCTCTCTGTATATTACACAGAATTTATCCATTACATTACAGAACACTGCAATGATGTGTGTGATGCAGTCTGCATATAAAAGACGCATCCTATATATTATAAAACTACAGTGATTACTGTGAGTGTGTGTGTGTACACTGCTGTATGCACCACGCTGGCCTTGAACTGCTTGCTGTCTTTCAAAGTTCAGCACAAGAACTTGCACAGGCTGTGGACACTTCAGAACTCTCTTTCTCAACGACAAATTTTAGCCAAATGGATGCTGTCACCATTTGAAGCCGTGAGGGAGGGGAAATACTAGCAACTAAGAATCTCTGCGAGCATGCCGGTTTGGTTTCCAAGAACAGGTAGAGACAACACACTTTTGATGTGGTCTGTCTGTGCCTGCACTGATTTTAAAAATCACCTCTCTGGTCTGTTTAGAGGATCACTGCTGGAGCTGAGCGCGGCCCTGTCCGAGCAGATGCAGATTCACCCAGCACCCGGAGAGAGGGGCAGCCCTACCCCCTGCTCACCGTGCTCGTGGGGGCCACTCAGGGCTCCCAGGCCTGGGATGCCCAGCACGTCCTGGATTTCTGTGCCTGGTTGAAGCTGGAGGTTCTACCTATACTAACAGATGATTCCTTTAAAAAGAAGCTTTAATGTCTACAGACTCATAATCTTGCAGCGAAATTAACGGACTCCAATCTGACCACCTCGCTCTACTTCCAGGCACCATATATGGCTTTACAGACATCAGACCACATGATGGCACACACTCACAGATGTTCCCTGGAAAATGCTTGGTCAGTGATGCTTGTGAAAAACCATCCGGAAGCACTAAAGTAATAGTGGGAACTTTGGGGCTTCCCTGGCTGCTCGGTGGTAAAGCATCCTCCTGCCAACGCAGGAGACGTGGGTTCGATCCCTGTCTGCCCATGCACTGCAGCTGCTGAGCCTGTGATCGAGCACCCAGGACCCGCAACTCCTGAGGCCCGAGTGCCCCAGGGTCTGTCCTCGGCAGCGAGAGAAGCCGCTGCATTGAGAAGCCTGCGCGCCGCGGCTAGAGAAGAGCTGAGCAACAATGGAGACCCACGTGAAAATAAAAAATAAAATTATTAAAAAAAGAGCGAACTTTTAAGTGAAATAATTCTGAGACGAGAAAGGGACATGGAGGTGCGTGGCCATGAGCAGGGCCTCCAGCCTGAGTGTCCACCCGGGCCTCCCGGCCGCCTCACCCTCAGAGGAGCCAGACCCCGCTGGGCCTCTTTCTCGGGTCAGTGGGTGAGCCCGACCACTCGGGGCGCAGGGTCTCCGGGATCTCTTCTTGGAAGCAGGGCGCCTGGGGCAGGTGCCGGTCGGCCTTCTGAGCCCAGGAGGCAGCGACTCCGACGACTTTGTTGATGGAGCCTCTGCTGGTCCCAGGTGCTCATTTAAGAAGCAAGGTGGCAGCGGTGTACCCCCAGCCCCAGGGCCGCCCTGTGGACGCGGCTGGCCCTTCCTCGCTGCCGCCCCAGAGCCCATGTTCGTGACCTGAGCAGCCCCCTTCCTCTTTGTCAGGTGGGTAGAAATCCAGATACCAACCTCAATGCCACTCCCCATTCTTCAAAGACTCAACCCAAAGCATCCTTAATATCTCATTCAAGCTTCATTCAAAGTGACTGTGTCTTCTATTTTTCCAAGGGTGGAGAAAGTCCAACCTAATTCTTTAGAAAATATTTTTAAATTCTGTATAACAGGAAGCAGGGTGGAGCCTGCCTTATTTTACCTGGCTTGACTTAACCCTCTACCCCAGTAAGATCATAGAAGATGGGATTTTAAGAACTTCCCCGCTTGTGAAGGAGGAGGTTAAACTGAGTTGCCTCTCCAACCCCTGTTTGTCTGACACCAAGCGCTGAAATTGGCTTTAACAGACTCTTGACTCCAGCTCTTGACTCCAGGGGTGCAGAGTGCAGTAAGGTGTGACGGAGGGTCGCAAAGTCAAACTCAGAAGCACTGAAGGATGTGAAGACAGGAATGGGGGGTTCCAGGCTGGGGCTCGGCATTGAGGAGAATTTGCAGAGGATGGCCAGGGGGACTGGACATCTGGCTGCCCTGTGGCCTTCCCATGGACCTTCTAATCAGACGCCCTCTCACTGTCTCTTGCTCACAATCCTGCCCCCATCTCAGCCTTCCCACCCCAAGCCAGCCTCCCGTCTTTCCTCACTCAATCCTGGACTTCCCAGTCTTCCTTAATGCCTCAGAGAGGATGGTGGTTCTCATTCTTCCAGGAATGCAGGGCAGACAGGACTTAAAGGGAAAACCTCCTTTGAAACGATGCATGTTTCCGTCTCAGTCCCCGAATGTCTCCAGATATCTGTGTACAATGACGTCTGTGCTGGGCTGACGTGCTGATGGTGAGATGCACTCCCAGCTTCATAGTTCTCAGGATCACCGCGTGGGCTCCTGCCATGGACTGACAGCCTGTGTCCCCCTGCCCCCGAATTCTGACGTGGTGGCGTCAGGAGTGGGTCTTGGGGGTCATGAGGTCACGAGGGTGGAGCCCTTGTGGATGGGATTAGTGTCCTTATGAGAAAGAACAGGAGAGACTAGAGCTCTCTGCATCTTGTGTGGACACAGCTGGAGGCTGTGTCTACAAACCAAGGGTCCTCACCAGGACCCGTGGTCGTGGACTTTCCAGCCTTCAGACTCTGATGAATGAGTGTCTGCTGTTTGCAGCGCTGAGTCTCTGACATTTGTGCTACAGAAGCCTAAGGCCATAAAGACAGTGCCCCAGAGAACCAAAACCATCTGGGTCCTGCCCCACCAGCCTCCACTTGTGGGTTTCATCTCTGGCAGGATGATGCCAGTGATGACCCAGGAAAAGGACCCTGCATTGTTTACTGATGTGACTTTCATCAAGTTAGAAAAGTGAGAACTGTGTCAGCAGCAGTGGTAACCAGGTCCTGTGTGGGTAAGAACGACAGATGCCTCAACTGACGCTTTTTTTCCCACTCCACTCTCATAAAAACCATTCCTAAATTCAATTTGTGTTGTTTGTCTTTCTCTGTTGAATATTTACATTTCATTCCCATTTTCTAAAACAACGTGGAAAACACACAAAGAAACCAGTTCCAGGAGGACTTCTTGAAGCACGTGAAGGATGAGAATTACAGAGCCGCTGCACAGCCGAAGTCCTGAGTGCACAGCAGCGTGTGCAAGAGGGGTGAGGCTAAAGCAGGAGCGTGACCATCCCTAGCTGGGAACACACACATGCGTGAGCCGACAGGCTGTGCGCCTGTGAGCTGAGAGCTATTCAAGTGCTGCCTGGACAAGCAACATGAAGGCAGCAGGAGAAGGGAGCTGCAGAGGGGGAGACGGTTGGATGGCATCACCGACTCAGTGGACATACATCTAAGCAAACTCTGGGAGATAGTGGAGGACAGAGGAGCCCGGGGAGCTGCAGTCCATGGGGTCACAAAGAGTCAGACACAACTTAGCAACAGAACAACAAGCAACAAGCAACAGCAATCATGCTCACCATATTTTGGGAAAGCAATGCTAAATTTGATCTAAGGGATCCCTGTAAATACACACTGGAAGAAAATTGCCTTCAAATTTCAGAGGAATCGCCAAGAAGCTTGAAGTGGGAGGCGGTGTGCACTGTGAGACCTCCCCTGACATAGGATGGTTGAGGGGTGGTTCTCTCCTAGAAGGGGAAGAACTCATGGGATTAGAAGGCAATGAATCTCTGCCATGTCCAGCACAACCCTGCTTTTGATAAGAATGGTAGATTCATAAACTAGTGTATAAAACCAAGGGTATTTCTCAGTGCTCAAAAGCAAGAAGTCCTGGGATATTTGGGCTTCAGGAATGTCTGGGTCCAGGAACTCCAGCTGTGAACCAAGAGGCCCTGTCTCTTCCTCACCGTGTCCCAGCTCTTCTGCGAGGCTTCATCCTCAGGTAAGACCTCCCACCTCTCAGAAAGCATCGTCCCTGACTCCTCTCAGCTTGTACTTCCATCCTTTGCAGTGACTCCAAGAAGAATGTTCGGATCAGCATGGGTCAGGTCACGTGCATCCCTGAACCAGTCGTTCCGGGCAGGGAAATAAAAATGGCCAGGTGGGGTCGGGGGGAGTCAGGTCCATGAAGAGGAACATGGCAGCAGGCAGTAGGGGTAGCAGTCGTGGTGAGCTGCTGAATGGGCCTCCTGAGATCCAGGCCCCAACTCCCAGGGCTTGTGGGTATGCGGCCTTCCAGGGGGTAAGTTAAGGACCTTGAGGTGGGAGGTTATCGTAGGTTATCTGGGTGGGTTCCGTGTCATCTTAGGGCTCCCAGAAGAGGGAGGTGGGGTGTCAGAGAGAGAGCAGACGGGAGGGCAGAAGCAGAGGGCACAAAGGGAGAAGACACCATGATGCTGGCTTTGAGGATGGAGGCGGGGCTGCAGGTTAAGGGGTGTGGGTTCCCCTAGAACCTGGGCAGGGCAGGGGATGAATTCTGCCCTCAGAGCCTCCAGAAGGAGCCAGCCCTGCCAATAAGTTGACTTTACTCACTGAAAGTGATTTGGGAATTCTGATCTCTGAACTGTAGGATAACAAATGTGTGCTGTTCTAAGCCACTGGTCACTTGTCACAGGAGCCGTAGCAAACTAACAGGTAATTGCATTAAAGACCACACCGGGTAACATGCTTGGAGAACTCACTCCATGCCAAACATGCTTGTGTAGACCGGGTGATCCCACAACTCCTGGGTGATCCCACGTGTCAGGGCTCCACTTCACAAGTGAGGAAACAGGCGCAGAAAGAAGGGGTGACTTGCTTTGGTCACACCCTGAGGTCCAGAGGCCACCCTGAGGCCCCAGGAGGCTGGAGGGGGTGCTCACCGCTTCTGTCTGTCTTAGCAGAGCAGGTGGCGGGGAGGTGGCCCCACAGATCAGAGGGGACTTGCCAGGATGGGCTGGCCTGTTCCCTGCTGGCCACTCTGGGCCACATGGGTCAGGAACAGAGGCCACAGGAGCCAGGCACACACGTCTGGAGGGACGGGAAGCAAGGCTGCCACCTCTCAGTTCATAGGCTCACCCCATCTCTCCGGCATCGTGTTCAGATCCGGGCCCCACAAGTTCGGAGTGCAAAGAGCCCTCTAATTCTGCTATTTATGGAGAACCTTAAAATTCACTTTCTAAGAGAACCATAAAAGCAGACAGGAGTCTCTGAAAAACTCGGTATCTTGCCAATCAGCCTACGTCTCCCAGATAAAAGCACACCGCATATGTTGCTGGCGCTTGCGAGAGAGTAAGTCTCTTAGCAAAATCCAAACTTTTTTCCTTGAATCAGTGTTGTCTAGAAATGTCCTAGGAGAGATTTTTGCTTGTTTCAGTCAATCTTAATTTTGCCCAAATTAGAGCTTCACCAAATCCAAGTGCACGTGGCTGGGAGAGGTGAGGAAGTAAAGGCAAGCCAGGTGCATGCCACCCTTAATCATTCCATTCTCTCTTTTTTACCTTGACGGCATCTGGGTGCCCCAGCTGGAGGTGGCACCCTGCCCTTGAAGTCCTGGCAGTCCGTCTCCAGGGACTTGTCACTGCTCTGAGCGCCCAGCTGCAGAAGGCACAGGGTGGGTCTCCCCCACATCATGTCAACACCTAGAGTCCACGTGCTGGGCCTTGCACCCCCTTCAAGCACAGTCTGTGCTTCTTAGAGTGAATCTCCCCATCAGCACCTCCCAGGTGCTTGGGACTTGGGAAGCGCTGGCTGCCCAGCTCGGGAACAGAAAGAAAATGTGATGCTGGTGGCTTCCGCCAGCGAGCTGAGCTGCAGTTCACGCCACAGCTGGAAGGATCACCCTTCTAGCACTAATGTCGTCCTCACGGTACAAGGGGGACATGCCTTGGAAGGGACTGCCCAAGGTCGCAGGCGAGCTCTGGGTCTGGAGACCCCCAGCTGCATGCGTCCCCCAGCACAGAGCACCTTGAGGCTCCCTGGGGAGTTCCTGAGGCGCTGATGATAATTTCCCAAAGAGGGGATGGGACCAAGAGAAGTTTCCGTCGCTGCGGAATGAGTGAGCTGGTGTTCTGATCTCAGCATGGACCCTGAGCGAAAGCTCCATCAGCTGTTAGCCAGAAAGCAGGAGAGCCTCTTCCTGAGTGCTCATCTGAAATGTGAGCGGACACGTGAGCATGAATGGCAGCCTGGTTCTCACATGGTGTGGCCATGATGCCTCGGGGGCCACGTGTGAGCCAGCAGGTGCGCCCTGAGGTCAGGGGCACGGCGCTCGCTCACTGCCGGCGCTGAGAACCAGCGCCCCACGCCCACCTCTGCCTGCCGCCCAGAGTCCATGCAGTCCTTCTGAGGGCTGCGTTTTACTCTCTAACAAATGCTCCAGTTTACTGGAAATCATAACTCAAGCCCGTGAGGACGTTGGCCCATTCCTCATGAGGAAAATTAATGGCCAATAGGCCCGGTGACGAGGCGTGTGCAACACTTGAGGGGCAATTTTACGGGAGTGCAGCTGGGCTTGGAATCTGCAGCGCTGGAAAGGAATTTATTTACAAATCCTGCCATAAATGCTCTTTAAAATAATGTCAAGTGGCCTAAGTGCTCATTTGGAATGAATTTACTCCAACCAGAAAACTGCCAGTGGGCTGAAACCACACACACACATATATATATGCTTGGGCGCACACACACAAATATATATACACGTGGGCACACACATATATATAAACTTGGGTATACACACACACATACACACACACACATATATATATAAGCTTGGGGACACACAAATATATATAAGCCTGGGCGCACACACACACATATATATGAACTTGGGGCTGCACACACACACGCATATATATAAAAGCTTGGGGACACACCCACATATATATATATATATAAACTTAGGAACATACACACACACATATATATATATATATACATGCTTGGGGACACACATACATATATATATATATAAGTTTAGGGACACAGACACACATACACATATATGTATAAGCGTGGGGACACACACACAAATATAAAACTTGGGAGCACAAAGAAACACACACACATATATATAAGTTTGGGGATGCACAGACACATACACATATATATATATAAGCTTGGGGACACACCCATATATATATATATATATACACACACATATATATATATAAAACTTCAAGATATACACGCACACACACATATATATGTATATATATATATATGTATACTCTTGAGAACACACAGAAACACATCTATACATATATAAGTTTGGGGACACACACACATATATACATGCTTGAGGACACACAGACACACATATATAGATATATAAGTCTGGGAACACACCCATACATATATGCACTCCTGGGGACACACAGACACACAGACACACACACACACACATATATAAGCTTGGGGACACACCCATATATATATATATATATATACACATATATATATATATAAAACTTCAAGATATACACGCACACACACATATATATGTATATATATATATGTATACTCTTGAGAACACACAGAAACACATCTATACATATATAAGTTTGGGGACACACACACATATATGCACTCCTGGGGACACACAGACACACACACACACACACACACACACACATATATATAAGCTTGGGGGCACACTCACATGTATATATATAAACATGGGGACATACACACACACACACATATATATAAACCTGGGGAAAGAGACCCTCACAGCCTGGTACTGACAGGATTTGCTGGTGTGTGTCTTTTTCAAAAAGCACAAAAAAAAGGTTCTAACCACGAGACCCATGAGCAAATCACCTCTGTTCTCTGAGAAAAATAACTCTGGGAAGGACTGGCCATCTCTGGAGCCTCCGTATGACGGGCTGGCCTGGGGTCATAGGTCAGGACCTGCCGGTCCGGGCAAGCGGGTGGGATGCGGGAAGCGGTCCTCCCCTTTCTCCAGGGGGTGGGGGGCAGCACCCCCCTGACAAAGACACAGGGTCGCCCCCTGTTCTTTTTTCCTCACAGGTTTGCAGTGAGCAGGTAAGAGCTCAGGGGCCAGCCTGAGACCCAGGCGCCCTCAGGCGCTCCGGGATGTGGAGCCTGGTCCCCCGAGGAGCCGGGGAGCACCGACTCTCTCTTCCTGGATGCTCCCTGCATGCCGTAAAGTGATGCATTGTTGCAGCCTGGCAGACTCGTTAGCCATTTTCCTTCCCCGAATTAAAAAATTGAATTATACACTCAGCCTCGTTACGGACCCTGTAAAGTTTATTAAAGTTTATCGACCGTGTGTACACACGTCAGGATTTAGCTTCTGTGGCCGCTCTCAAGCTGGAACAGTGAATTAAGAGGCCGTGGCTCGGGCGGACTCCAGCCGAGCTACAGGTAGCAGAAGTCTCCTTCAATTAGACATAATCATCACTCACAGTCAATAATTGTGCTAAGGGCTGCTTTCAAATCTGTGAGGGATTCGCATTCAATGTACTGATTCAGCTTGTCTGAGCCAAATTCACTGTGTACTGAAACCAAAGCAATTTAGTTCTTGCCTACGGCCCTTCTGGCAGTTCATCTAGTGCTCGCGCTGTAAGGACTGCGAGATACAATTTAATCTGAGCCATCTGTGCAGAGACTGCCCCTCTCCAGGACGGAGGGAGACGTGGGAACGGCTAAGCTCTGGTTTTATGGGAAGAACCAGGCCTTATCTCGCCCCTGAAAAATAAAGCATTTAAGATAGAGTAAAAAGCCAAATAAAAAAAAAATTTTTTTTCCTTGGGTTTATGAAATGCACACAGCAGCTCCTAACAGCTTCCCCACTCTGACCGGCAGAAGCACTTGAGCTGTGATCCGGGGATGAGCCATTTAAGGATATTACGCTTATCACTGGCTGCAGCTGACGGAGGAGATCTTTATTAAATATGAAAGGGAAGTGTTTCATTCTTTGTGAGTCCACGGAAATATTGAAATGCCTCTATGCATGTCTCTTGCCTTGTGGTCCTGGAAAATGACTAGACCGCTTATCACCCATCTCGGGCCTGTGCCGGAGGGTCGCGCCCTGGCCGGCCTGTGGATGACGAGGCTGGCCTCTGTGCATCTTACAGGGACATCCGTGCTGCCTGGAGGCTCTCCTGACGGTTGTTACAATGATCAGCCAGTCGGCTCCCGGGCAGTGTGGGTCAAGGTGCTGGTGCTCCAAGCAGGCCCTGTTGTTATGGCTCTCGTGAATGCATGAAGACTGTTTTGTTTTTCAAGCATAATGCGATCATAGAAATACTTAAAATAATATGCACGCAGAAGCAGAGTTGGTGGGACTTGGGAGCCTGGGCTACCAGGCCTACAAAGGGACTTTGGTTGGATCACAGAAATGCAGGTAGATCCTCCCGAACTGCATGGCCTGCAGGACACAGCAAACCACACAAGGACAAGCCAGGTCCCTCGGACACAGGCCAGTGAGGTCGTCTGCAGCAGGAGCTCTGGGCAGCGTGGGGATGACGGAGAGGACAGGGGCCAGGTGGGCACAGCCCAGAGTCAGGAAGACGTGGCCGCTTTCTGGTTCGTGGGATCCAGGCAGGTCCTGGTGGACAAAGCTCATTTGCCATTTTAGGCCTGAACTCCCCGTTTCACTCAGGGAGGCGTCAACATGGACAAGGGCGAACTCAGAGACAAGCCCCCCTCGTGCAGGTGGCGGGAAGGACCCTCTGTGCGAGAGCTGGGGTGGGGTCCTGGCCTTGGCAGCGTGGACCCCTGAGGGGCCTGGGCAGAGCGGGGCGCTTGGTATGAAGGAGGTAGGGAGGGTCCAGCCCCGCCGGCGTCTTCTCTGCTGTCGTCTGGAGCAGACAGCACGGGGCTGCAGCGTGCCAGCTGACGCTCCAGAGACAGCCTGCCTCCTCTCATGGTCGTCCTGACAACCTGGAAAGGGGGACCACATATAGGCTGGGAAACTGAGGTCGGGACAGGCCAGGGGCGTCTTCCAGGTGGTCAGGGGGCCTTGAGTTCACTTCAGTGGGGACGGAAGCAACTGGCTTCCAAGGACCCCAAGTCCTCTCTCCAGTGCTCAGGTGGAAATGCCAGGAAAGGGAGACAGAGGCCTTCGGCCTTGCGGCTGGCGTCCCACCCCTGGTCATGGCCACATCCAGGGTTCAGATGTGGGAGTACCTCCATCCTGGCTAATAAAACACCCACCACTCAGCACACAGCACACACATACACACCTAAACATTCAGGCACACAAGCATATCACGCACATACGCACATATATGTGCATACATATACATATATAAACACACAGGCATACATGTACACATGCATGGACACACACATATCACGCAAACACACATAAGTATACAGGTGCACACACACATGGATAAACAAATACACACTGACACAGCCCTCATTTCCCGCCCCCACCTTCCCGCAAGCCCCAGGGGCCGTCCCGAGGATGCTGACTGGGGCCCTTCCTCCCCGCGCGGCGCTGGCGCCCGGTGCCCTCTGCCCCGCCCACGCTGCGTCCCCGACCCTGCCGTCCCTTCCCGGCGGCCCTGTGGGGGACACGCCCCGTCTGCTGATGTGCGAGTCCCTCCTCGCGGCGGGCCTCCCCT